CTAATACTGTATGGGAAAGTATAACATCCTTGCATATTCCAACAAGAATAGCAGCTAAAGGAGCTGCTGCTGTAGCAACAGTCAAGCTAAAATATGGTTTAATTAAGGACTCAAACCAAAAAATAAAGTAGTTAGCATTCATATTACATAAAACAATACATCCATGCCTACGGGTAGGTAAAAGTTAAACCACCATCTATAATTTAACAGCTCAAAAATATTTAAAAGAAAAATACTTTGGGTAGTAGTCTACAAAGAATTTTCCAGCTTAAAATTTGTGGGATTTTTTTTCCTTTTCATGCTTTTTTTCTCTCCCACAGGCTTCCACTTACTAAGAATAATTTACCTGAAAAAAAGAAACAACCAGTAATTTTTCACCATAAGTATTTCAAGTACCAGCTTGCTATTTCTGTCAACCTACACAAATTATTACAGGAATTTACATGCTAGGCATGTATGTCCTGTATATCTTATTCCATTGACTACTGAAAGTTAGTTAAATCTAATAGCTGGTAATACATGCATTCAATCATTAATTAAAATCCCAAGGATAGTATATGCTGGCATAAATACACACACACACACACACACACACAAAACCAGTGTCACTCTATTGATTCCAACTTAGGGCAACCCTAGTAGACAGAGCAGAATTGCCAAGGCTGTAAATCTTTATGGAAGCAGAATGCCTATCTTTCTCTCATGGTGGGTTCACAATGCCAAACTTTTGGTTAGCAGCTGACTGCTTTAACTACTGCACCACCAGAGCTCCCAGGATAAATAACAGGAAAGTATATTTGGGATAGTCTTGGTAACTTTCCCTAACCCTTATTGACAGAGCCCGCCCTCTACTACATCTCCTCCATAATATACTTTTCAAAGGTACTTAACTTAAAATGTCTGGATTTTTTTCCCAAAAAAATACAGGGAAAGAGAATGGGTCGGGGTGTAGATGAAAGAAGTTGGCCATCACTGAAGCTGGGTGATGGCTACATGAGAGTTCACTTCACTGATCTGTATATATTTCCATGATAAAAAAGTTTAAGTGCTTGGTTAATTTATCAAAATAAATTTAATCCCAAAAAGATGAGCTGCTAAGCGCTAAGAAACAGGAACCATGAAGCAACACTAAGTAAGCAGATACAAAAGAAAACTGAAGCTTTACCCTGCTGCTCATTATCAATCACTATGTTGCTGTTGTTGTTATGTACCGTCAAGTCGGACCCGACTCATAGCGACCCCTCCTTGGGTTGCCGAGGCAGTATCACTACAGAAGTAGATTGCCCCATCTTCCTTCTGAGGAGTGGCTGGTGGGCTTGAACCGCCAGCTTTCTGGTTAGCAGTCAAGTGCCTTAGGCACTACGCTACCAGAGCTCCTATATGCAAATGAACATCTAATAGCAAATGGTCCTTACCCAGAAACCAGATATGAGATTGGCTCAAGAAAAATTGTAATAATGATAGCATAAGTAGTTGCAGGGATAGCTATTACAGTGATAGCTGTAAAGGCCACATTTTACTGAACACTTACATATGTTAACACTTTTCCTAATTAATTTAATTCTCAGAATAAGCCTAAGAGGTAAGTATTTTCAATATGCCCATTTCAGAAACGAGGACACTTAGATGGAGGTACTCAGTGTTCCATACCAAGTAAGGAGCAGACTAGAGCAAATTCAAGGTGTCTGACTCCAGAAGTCTTGCTCTTAACCTCCACAATATACTTCCTTAACCACATTATAATACAGGAGCTAAAAGAAATGGGAGGCAATCATCCTTCTCTACACTTTTCATAGCAACCGTTAAGTAATTCAGTTAGTTATGCTTCTCATTCGCCTCTAAATGTTCTCTAAATTCTTTTTAACTCTAAGACTCATTAGATCCAGAAATGGAAAGCTCTTTTCTGTCTCTCTCCTCTCCCTCAATTAGTGGCATAGAAGGAAAGTTTAAAAAAAAAAAAAAAAACTAGGAAGAAAAAAATCTAATCAATTCACTGTTGCTTTTAAAAAGAAAAGTTTGCAGGAATACTTGCAACAAATACTTTTATAAAAATAAAATTAGTACAGTAGTTAAAGAGAGCATTGCGGACAACAGGTAATAAAAAAAATTACACTTGACCTTGATTAAAGATAATCAAAAGCATATTCAAATATCTATATAATCACAAACCAGCCATAACACGTCGTAGATAAATACATTCTAATGTTAAAACTCTACCTTGCTTAGCTTTTCCTACCAAGAAAGTTAAAAAAACAAAATCTACAAAACCCGTAGACAGGAGGTAAAATACTAGAATTCTTATAACACAAGTTTACTTGAGTATTTTTATTTTATCCAAGCTTTTTCATTTCTGCCTAATTTTCAAGATCACTTTAAAGGCATTCATACATAGTTAAATTTATGCTAATGTTAATTAAAAACTAAAATATCCATATTTATTGAAAAATAAAGGCAACATGTAATAGACTGTAAAGTCCAGTAAGATATTAATTAACTACAGCCCAATTATATCCTAAAATTAACAAGGCTATCTTTTCCACCGTTCCATTACAAGCACACACCCAAGCATATACAAACATGGGGGGGGGGGAGGCACACCAAAAACTAGGTTTTGGAAGAGACATTGAACATCAGATCATAAGCACCTATTGCTACAATCAAATTAAATCACTTATCAGGTATATGCTTTCCAATCTCTCACATTTCCCCACTGATAATAATATCCAATGAGAATATTCAGAGTCTCTAAAATGTTGCAAAATCTCAAAGAAAATCCTTAGTACAGTTGTGACTAAAACTTATACGTGGTCAACAAATTAGTTTAACAGTTCCAACAATTTACAAAAAGGGCTCTAATAAAAGGTTTAACTTCAATTAGCCATAACATCCAATAGCTAAAGTTATCTTCCTCAATCTGTTACTTGGGCATCCAAATTAATCAAAGTTCTTTCATGCTTTCAGTACCCTAATTTTTGGATGATGAAGGAAGAATAGGCTAAGGATCTAGTGTTTGATTTTTAATGTATTGTAAAGGTGAAAATGGATTCACAATCTGAAAAATGGGAATTATTAATAACAGGACTTACGGGAAAAGATGGAGCTCTGGTAGCACAGTGCCAAAGGCATTTGACTGCTAACCAGAAGGCTGATCTGACTTGATGGCAGTGAGTTTTATGATGGGAAAATAGGGTTGAGTCAGACTATTTTAAACCTACACAACTTTGTCACCAGAACACTGATAAAAACATCAATTGGTACTGAGGCAGGTAGTTAAATCTGGCTAGAGGCTGTCACAAGGATATAAAAACAGTGCTAGGAGGTGTTCAACCAACAACAATGGAAGTAGAACTCTGAGGGAGTGAAGCTGCCATGAAGGGGACATGCTTAGCAGGTAGGCTCTCACACAGAGAGCCACAAAAAACCGAGAGGTAGGTCTCTCTGGAGAGGAAATGGCAGGAAACAGCACCCATATTTAATGTTCTCAAATAAAGCTAAAAAGTGTTCATGTTGGCAGTGCAGTGGCCAACCTTAGGGCTAATTCCATGAGCCTGAAAATGTAACATCATCTCCCTTATCCCATCATTCTGCTTCCTCTGGACTATGAAAAATATCACACATAAAGTAATGTGATTTCTGTGTTAAACTGGTAATTCTCCAATTTCTAGCATGTATGAGCAAATCCATATTACAGAAATAAAATGATTTTGCTTTAAATGGTAAGTGTCTAAGCAAAGTTGGATTTCCTTTCATGATTTTTGGGGGGGCTTTTTTTTTGGAGCATTTGTCCTTTTCTTTTTGAATTACATGAGTCTTGTAAAATACAAAAGATAGCCATCTGTCAAATGTGTAACAAATATTTTTTTCTAGTTTATCATCTGACTTCATGCTAGGGTTCATGAGTTTTATACTTTTAATGGTTTAAATTTAATAGTTAAATATATTAATCTTTCTTCTACAGTTTTTGGGATTTAGATTCTAACTTATAAATTCCCCATTCAAGCCCTATACATAATTTCACACTATTTTTTCCAAGTACATTTGTGTTTTATTTTTTACATTTAAGTCTTTGATCTTTCTGAAATTTTAGCATAAGGCATGAGGTAGGAGCTACTTTATAGTTTGTACCTAAATGTCTAAGAAATTGTATTATTTTTCCCCACTGAATTGAACTGCATTTTTATCATGTACAAAATGTGAAATATATTTGTACTGACTCTCTTTCTATTCCACTCATATATGTAGCAGGAAACTATGGCAGAGAAATTGAAAATGCAAAAAACAGTAGAATTGCTAGAAAATTTGAATTAAAACTGTATTGAGGGGTACTGTTTAAATACTGTAGCTTCTTAACATATATTTAATATCTAATAGCTATATATTTTCCCTTTTCCTTCCCCCAAAGCATCTTTTTTCAGAAATTGTGCCAAATACATATATAAAAGTAAAACTAACTATCAAGAAAGAAGGAAAACCATCTTAAAGGAAGGTAGGAAAAAAACCTGAAATTTTCTTTGGAATCAAGGGACAACAGTACTATCTCTTCTGACACTACCTTAGGTGTTTTCTGTTAACTATTTCATAATCAATAAAGTATTGATATTAAACAGGGTGGCAAGATTAAGTTATAACCTAGGACCAGCCATACTTCGGTTCAAATAAGCAATAGATCAGGATATCTAGATGTCAAAAGTACAAAGACTAATTAAATGCTATGCTGTAAGTTCTTCCAGAAATTCTGGTTTCCTTAATTATGTAAACTCTGCTTGTAATACTACTAAAGCTTATCTAGGAGCTTAAAAATATTACTAATCTATAACTAGGCTGCTTTCATTCTAATAATAATCTTTTAATCATTTTATTCATGTTTTATCTTTACTACAGTTTCATAAAATCATAATAACATGAAATAAAAAGAATAGGCTTTTAGGTAAAGAGATGTAAATAGCGGGCTCTAAATATAGTATCTTACAATTTCTTCAAAAATTTTACCAAGTACTTACTTATTAAGCAATGTATATTATGAGAGTAACGAGAATTGTCTGGGATGGTGAAGGTGCCATCACAGATAGCGACCTGACTCTCACCAAAAGGAAGAGTGAAGAAACAAAGTTTATACAGTAAACATCCCAGTGCCTGTAAAACAAATAAACATTAATAACATCAGAACTCAAGCAATCAACTTAACCATAAGACATGAAAATAGTCAAAACCAAAATTTAAATATATTATTTCAAAAACAAAATTCTAATGTTTCTATACTAGATCAATCTTTTCAAAAGTTATTGTTTAAACAATCCTCATTATGTTTAATTTTTTAAAATAAATTTAACTAGATTATTTCCATGTTTTTCTATCACACCTGTGGCTAGTTACTGAATTAGATCCTATCACAGAACTCTAAACTGTGAATGATATAACTAATTTATAATTTTTTTAAAAAAAAGAAAATTATAAATTTACTTCTTCCACAAGGCAGATATCTATTTATAAGTATCACGTAATTAGCAAAGTAAGCACAAGGCTTCATCTAATAGCACTTTTAAAGTCATAACAAAACATGTTTAAAATACTAGGTTTCCAAACATGAGTTAACCAGCACAGTTAAATTTATTAGACAACCACAATGAAGCACACATCCTCACTTCATATTATAACACTTAGTTATCCATTTCTGTTCATAATTGTGTAATTTTAAATTCTATATTAAATTAATTATATGTGTATCTGGGTAATCTATTATTAAAGTCCGAAATGGAAAGGCTGTCTGTTTAACTTGCACGGCTTCATAAACGGCACAGCATCAATAAATCTACTTGTTGTGAATGAAGGCAAAATATCTTAAAACACAAATTGTGTCTGGAAAAATACCATATGAAATTTCTGGCCAAACTGCTAACAGGGGAAACCTGAAGAGCAGTAATGAAATGCGACTTCCTGCTTTGTTACAAGAAGTGTCAACTACAAATCTTAAGAGCTTAAGGAGCATTTTCAACTCCAAACATTAGATTGTATAAAATTATTATAAAATTATCTAATAGTATATAATTATATAGCAATACTGAAATTTGGTCTTCTATTTAAAAATAAGCAAATCAGATTCCTTTCTTGGATTTTCTCCACACATCAACTTAGCAAATGTAGTTAACAAGTACACTAAGGCCCTTGACTGCTATCCAGAAGGCTGGTAGTTCAAACCCACCAGCCACTCCTCAGAAGGAAGGTTGGGCAATATACTTCCCTAATGATATCGCCTTGGAAACCCAAGGAGGGGTCGTTATGAGTCAGGTCCAACTCGACAGCACATAACAAGAACAACATGAAGATAATAGTATACAGAAACATCTTTGTGAATCCAACAATGTTAATGTATAAAACATTTCAATATGATAGCATTCTCCCAATGAGAAAAGTTAAAAAAAATACATAAATTTCAATAAATTAGAAACGTTACTGGATTAATATATAATGCATCTAATAAAACTGTAAAAATAATGAATAGAAATAACCACTCCAATTTGTTTTGTTGTCTTTAATTTATGATTCTTCTGTATTTCAACATATATCCAACAAATTGAGCATAAGGCTCTCTTAAGAGCACTTAAAAAAAAAAAAAGCTATAATATCTGCATGGAATTATATCTTTTTTTCTTTTTAAACTGCCCAGATGAAAATGTGATAGTCTAGGCAAAACATATCTGCATTTTAGCTAGTTTTATATTGTCAACCAAATTTTTAGAAATGTGTCTTCTGTTAAAGAAAATATTATGGAGGTAACAATCTAGCTAATTTTAGCAATGCCAGTAAACTTAAAAGCCATAAAGCCAACTCTGCTTCACATAGTGTGAACATACGAATTTTTTCAGACCAAAGCCATTTCTCTCTTTATCCATTTGATATAATGAGAACTGTTCAAGAAACAGGAGGGAACAAATGACCTGATTATGAAGGCTGAATATTATCATCTTCAATTTTCCTCATTAAAAAGTAATATGAAGTATCTCCTACTGAATTTTCTGAATGATTAATAAAATCACCATCCCAGATCTCAGAATAAAAATGACCTATAATGGAAGTGTCAAAGTTATTAAAAAAAAAAAAAAAAAAAACTTCCAAAATACAAAGTGCTCAATATAACTCTCTGAAACAGAATCAGAAATACAATTTTTTACTAATTCCAATTAAATACTTTTTCTGGATGTCCCAGAATTTACACTTAAAACGTTGTAGCATGCTTTTATTTCATCCAAATAAGACAAGGATAGAGATGGCATCATGGAAATTAAACTTGTATCCTTTTCAAGCACATAAACATAGTACTATTTTCTGGTTTTCTTTTTCTTTTTTTTAAATTATCTTTAAGTAGCTATTTGTAATTCCACAGCTATGCTCAATTATCTATTGTAACTAATCTGTAAGTGGTATAAAATTTAAAAGTACTGACAACTTAATATGCCTGCTATGTGTATTCATTCTGACACCCAAAAATGAATGGATTCCTTTTTGTGTTCAAATATCAGCTTACAATTGTATGTTTAGAGAACTTTTTTTTTTAAATCAACCCCTGATGATTTCAAATGAATAGTTGAGCTATGCTATCTATTGTTTGCTCTACTACTGAAGTACTCTTTTCAGATCATATGGAATTCAAGGGCAATCACAAAATTCAGCCAGAAAAGACAACCAGGTCACCTCTTCTAGTATCTTCATTTTGTAAGACAAGATACAATTCAATTTGCCTCCTATACTATACATAAACTGTGTTTACTATAAGCCATTTAATAAGCCACAGGTTAGTGCTAAGGAAAACAAACCAGGTTTCAATTACAGATGCTGGTAATCTACAAGCATATCATATTAACATAACTTATTTATAGTTTGTATGCATAACCATGTATATGGTTAAAATCCAAAAACTCTGTATTTTAAGAATCTGGTAAAAATGTGTATGGTATATAGACAGATGAAATTATATTGATGGTATTTTTTTTAATTACATTACAAGGCTATTCGTCTCTCTAAGATTTCGTTTGGCACTCTACCCTAAATAGGGAGGAAACCAGGAGAGAAGAACCAAGAGATATTCATTTGGTTTCATGTATTATGTTCAACTACTTTCTGAACACTGTATGTTGGCAACAGTATAAATCTGACTTTTCTTGTAAAGTCTACAATGATTTCAAAGAAATTTTACTCTCCCATACCTAATATGGTGACCAGTGATAGATACGGCTAAATTATTGTTGAATTTAAATGAATTCACATTTAAAATAATTTCCTGCTAGTATATTAAATACAACCAAAATGTATTTTGTTTATGAAATGAGTTCTAAAGAGCTGTTGAGCTTCTATCATAAAGTTAAACTATAAAGAAACATGATCTGTCACATAATTCAATCTAGACTTACAAGCTAAATTGTAACAAATCTTAATATATGGAAATAAGTCAATGCTAAGTTTATAATTAGAAAATATTGAAAAATTAGAAAAAATGGTAAGATCCTAAAGCACTCCAGAAAACAATTTAGTATAATAACTTAATTGTTATGTCTGGCTTTTCTAAACTGTGAGCAACCACTCAAAAGAAAAATGTTAACACTCATAGAATCTAAATTCTAAAAAACACTGTTAAAAAATTACACTATAGGGAAGTCTTTTATTTGCCTTTTTTGGGGGGCAGATATTTTTTATCTCATGCTTGAGAGGATAAAATGTTCTAATATTTTCTTCTCCTGAGTAAGCAGCTCTACTCTACACCAAATCTCCACTTACTAGGAAATGCCTTTAGACGGAGTAGGGGGGTAGTCAAATGAATTCAGAATTTCTTATTTAGCTAGAGCAAATGCCAGCCTTTCTTGGCCTTACCCAGATATCAGCCTTGGTGGTGATAGGCTTCCCTCCATAAAGGTTGATCATTTCAGGGGCTCTGTATGACAGAGTTGTGTACCTGGCAGTAAATAAGTGAAATGGAGTGGAGATATAAACAGACAGGCACCACATTGATTCTTCATAAAATACTGCAAAAATGTTCAGGTTCAGTAACATGTATACAAAATAGCTATATACATTTTTATTTAACAAGTGCAACAGCACCTAAAAAGATATAAAAACTTATTTATTTTATATTAGAAACATTTTAAATAATGGCAATATAGAATTTTCCTTGAATTTCTTATTTGAAATAACACATTTTAACTATAATAGTCTCCTTATCAAAATACTTTAGCCTGTTAATTTAAAATTAAAACTTCTACCCTCTCAAATAATTCACTTATGGACCCTTAACATACTTCCTTCCACACAGGAAATCTTCTTTGGGCTTGTTTTTATAATTGGCATTGTTTTAAAAGTAATCTAGTTGCTATAATTCTAATTATACTAATGGCAGTAGGTAACTATACTTCTAATACTGACCACCATCATAAACTACTTGGAATTAAAAGATACCATCAACAAATATAAAAACCCCAAATCTATTCTGAACAGAATATTTTAATGAAGTAGTACTCAAATTTTATGCCAGAATTTATCAGAAATTACATGCTTTCTATATCATAGCATAATATTAGATTCATTTTGAGTGTTTATATATATATTTTTTCCCTTAAAGTAGTACCAAAAACATTAACATTCCACCATCTTGCCCTTTCCAAATTAGCTTGACCAGTGAGACATTCTGAATGATACTACTGCAAAAGAATGACCTAAGAAGCCAGAATCTAAGTGGCATGAGAGCAGGACTTCTGTTTCACTGTTATAATCCCAACGTCAAGAACACTGTCTGCTATATTATAGGCATTAAATAAATCCATGTTAATTGAACAAATGGTTAGCCTGCTAACTCCTTATCTGAGCCACAAAGTACAAGAACCCTTCATGAACTTGGGTTCATTACTAATGCAAGTTCAACTGAACTTTGTACCACGTATCTGCAACAGTAAGAATGAGATGTTTCAGTAAGATCGATGGTAACCACCATACATCATAAATCTGTAACTTTTTTTAAAAAATTATATGTGTATACATATATCCCCTGAAGCCAAGTCAACAATTCATTGTCCTTGTGTTCTTCAGAACGTTTACATGTTTACTAAGAAGTTTCTTTTTATGGAATCTAACATAATCATCATAGGATAAATACAAATGAGGCAGAGTAATATCAGATGTGAACTCATGCATTTGCTTCATTCTGTAGTACACAGGGTCCCTATTAGTGGGAACCAACTTGATGGCACCTAACTATAACAAAAATATCAGCTTCACTGGAGTTATTTCTGAAATGCTGCATTTCAATAGTAGTTCCTATATCAAAAAAAAAAAACAAACCAAATCCACTGCTGAGTCAATTCCAACTCATTAGGACCATTTAGGACAGAATAGGACTGTACCATAGGGTTTTCCAAGGCTAACAATCCATATGGGAAGCAGACTGCCTCATTCTTCTCTCACAGAGTAGCCAGTGGGTTTCAACCTCCAATATTTTGGTTAGCAGTCGAATGCCTTAACCACTGAGCCACCAGAGCTCCTAGCTTCTATATAGTCTTAAACAATTGAAAATTTGTGAAGAAGAGATGAAAGACAATTTAGGAAAGATAAATAATTAGAAATACCTATTCTGAGAGATCTTTATGCATTCTGTATCACTTTGTGATCTAAGATTTACAAATAGTTTCATTTTCTAAAACTAGGTAACAGAAGTTAGGAAAAGGTCCTCACAGATGGTCTCATAACCATGGACTGAAAAAACATTAAGCAGGTATGACTTACATTTCTACCACAGAACTTTCCAGCATACTATTATAAAGTAAAAGTTCTTGACACAGTCTTAACATTTATATTTTGCACATAGCTTTCAGTGCATAGGGAAATCAGCCTTCTTAATATTACACATATAAAGTAAAAGCATAAATGTTTTCAAGTAATTTAATTTTTCCTAATAAGCACAAGTCTTCAGTATCAGTAAAAACACAGGTGTTTAAATGAACTCAACAATCACTTCAAACTGTCTTTAATGATTACTCACATTGATTACTACAGCTTATTTAACAAATTTCTTTATAATCTGTTTACAATGTATATGAAAAACTGTATTCGTGGTAAAATGTACTTCCTGATAAGAGAACAGTTAATCTGTTTCTGTAGCATTGAAACCTTTTGAAGAAATCTATGAATGGAGTATCTAAAATTTGTATCAGCAGAGCTGGTCAGACTCAAGCTAACTAAAATTCTCATGAGACAAAGTGCAATAAAAATGGCACTTACTTTTTAATTTCTTCTTCTACTATGTTCACTCCATCTTTTTGAGGATTGAGAAATTTATTAGTGGCACTGCCAAAGTCACAAAGTACATAGTTCCCACCATCATTCAACAAAATATTTTCTACCTTTAAAAAAAAAGGGGAGGGGGTAATTAGCAGTATTTTAAAAGTGAAAACTATGCTTTTATAAAATAAAGACTGAAGGGTTTATGCCACATGTGTATAGGTGTAAGCCATCTCAAATTATAAGGACAAATGAACCAGAACAAAAATAAACTTTACTGTATCTACTGTTTGTCCAACTAAGAGCAAGGAAGAGCTTCTCCCACCCATGACAGTTTATGCAGTGGCGAGAAACCCTAAATCTGCTCCCAAACTGCTATTATGAAAGAGATTTAGTGGGAAGCATAGTCCAGCTTCTCTCTCTCACCATACCTCCATTTTTCTCCTTTTCTGATACATCTGCTTATTTAGTAATGAAAATCATGTAAATTCTACATTTGATTAACTCCTAATGCTGTTTTTATCTAAAAAAAGCTACAATGAAGAACACAAATTTGACCTTGCGTCTTACCTTGAAGATCAGAGTTTAGTAACAAAAATAAAACAATTCCATGCATAGTTTCCAGAAAATAAGATAATGAGCTCAACATCCAGCTTTGCTGTTTACTAGCATGTGTGTTGGTATTAGGTGCTGTCACGTCTGTTGTGACTCATAGCAACCCCGTGGACAACAGACCAAAACACTGTCCTCTCCTGTGCCATCCTCACAATCATTGCCATGCTTAAGCCCATCATGGCAGCCACTGTGTCAATTCATCTTGTTGAGGGTCTTCCCCCTTTTCGCTGGCCTTCTACTTTGCCCACTGTGATATCCTTGTTCAGAGACAACATGACCAAAGTATGAAAAGCAAAATCTGGACATATAGGCTTCTAAGGCACATTCTGACTGTACTTCCTCCATGAAAAATTTGTCTGTTCTTCTAGCAGTTCATGGTACATTCAATATTCTTTGCCAATACCACAATTCAAAGGTATCAATTCTTCTGTGCTCTTCCTTATTTATTGTCCAGCTCTCACATACATATGAAGCTACTGATAGGAGGACAGCCTGAATCAGGTGAAACTTAACTCTTCAAAGTGACATCTCCGCTGTTAAATTAGAGGTCTTCTGCAGCACATTTGCCCAGGGCAATGTGCCGTTTGATTTCTTGACTACTGCTTCCATAGGCACTGATTGTGGATCCAAGTAAAATTAAATCCTTGAGAACTTCCATCTTTTCTCCATTTATCATGATATTGTTTACTGGTCCAGTTTTGGGAATTTTTGTTTTCTTTATGTTGAAGAAATACTGAAGATTAGTCTTTCATCTTCATCAGTAAGTGCTTCAAGTCATCTTCACTTTCAGCAAGCAAAGTTGTGTCATCTGCATATCCCAGAGTTGTTAATGGTTCTCCTCCAATCCTGATATCACACTGTTCTTCACATAGTCCAGCTTCTCTGATTATTTGCTCAGCACCCAGATAGAATAAGTATGGGGAAAGGATACAACCCTGACGCACACACTTCCTGGTTTTAAACCATACAGTATCCCCTTGTTCTATTCAAAAGACTGCCTCCTGGTCTATGTAGAAGTGTTCTGAAATTCCCATTCTTGCAATGTTGTCCGTAATTTATTATGATCTACACAGTCAAATGTCTTCGCACAGTCAATAAAGTACACATAAAGACCTTTCTGGTTATCTGCTTTTACGCAAGGTCTATTTGACATCCTTCTTCTGAATGTGGCACTCGCTGTATAGACTCTGACAATTTGTTTTCTTTTTCTTATCTATAACAATATCTAGGAGCTCTGGTAGCATAGTGCCTAAGGCACTTGACTGCTAACCAAAAGGCTGGCGGTTCAAACCCACCAGCCACTCCTCGGAAGGAAGGTTGGGCAATCCTACTTCCGTAGTGATACTGCCTCGGAAACCCAAGGAGGGGTCGCTATGAGTCGGGGCCGACTCGATGGCACATAACAACAACAACAACATGAAGCAGAGAGTGTACCCAAGACCATGTATAGGGTTAGCAGACAATGGTCCTATATTTGCATGATCTGTAAGAATTCCAAGGTGTATAGTAGAGCTGACAAGGGATAAGGTTGTAGTCACTTCTTGGTCACAACCAGCTACCCAGAGGGACCGAGTAGTTGAACCAGTAGGCTCAGGACCATAGTCGCAGGGGACATCAAGCTCAACTGGCATAACATACTACACAAAACATTGTTCCACCTCCTACTTTGGCGAGTAGTGACTAGGATCCTAGAAGCTTGCAAGCAGCCATCTGGATGCTACGATGGGTCTCTCCTCACCCAGAGCAAAGAAGAATGCTGAAACCCAAAGACTGATGGAAACAATTAGTCCTAGCTACTGGTACAGCATGCAATCCACAGCCCACATGACAATGAGACCAGAAGAACTAGATGGTGCCTGGTTACCACTGTCAACCACTTGGAGGGCCATCTATATAGGAGATCCTGGAACAAAACTCAAAATCACTTGGAAAAAAAGGGGGAGGGGGACCAGGTTTGCTGGTCTGATAGAGCCTGGTGGAATCTATGGCCCCTAGCTGCCCTTCAGGTCTGGAATTGAACCTACACCTGTGGCTTCCATCCAAACAAAAGACAGGCATGTGAGTTGAACATTTACCTGAGGTAGATACATTCCTTGGAGAGAACAATCATGGGAGAAAGAAGGGTTGTTTATGCACAGGGAGACAGCTCAGGGAGCAAGGGTAACCATAGGGAGGAAGTGGGAGGGGAGCTGTTGCATTGGGGTAAATTGTAGTAAATGTTATGAGACAAAGTGTATGTGAACTGCTATATGGAAAGTGAATTTGTTCTGTAAATTTTCACCCAAATCACAATTAAAAAAAAAAAAAAAAAACTTGCTTGTTATTGTTACATTGTTTTTCATAATATCTATTTTATGATACATTCTAAGAAGAGCAAATTCATTTATTTTCACTCTCAAAATACTCACACTACAGTTTCTTTTCTGGTGTCTTTCAGGTGACTCAATATAATGTGAGACAGAAAAAATAGTAGGAAGCAGACAGTCCTGAGTAATGCCTCCTTTCTTAGTTTCCTAAACTGTAAAATGCAGGCAATGAATAACTATCTTGCTGAGTTGCTATGAAGGATTAAAGATTAAACAGTGCTTGGCACATGGTAAACATTCAAAAATACTTATAATAGCTCTTAATTCTCAAGTTAACAAAAGTTAGCTATTTAAAACTCTTCTTATTTTACAATATTTCTTCTGTATTTCATTTTGCTGTTGTTGTGAGGTGCCATCAAACTGATTTCAAGTCACAGCAACCCCATGTGACAGACTAGATAGAACTGCCCCACAGGTTTTTCTTGATAGAAATCTTTACTGAAGCACATCGCCAGGTAGTTCTATTGCCAAGCTGCTGGGTGAGTTCGAACCACCAACTTTTTGGTTAGCGGCCAAGCACTTAAACCTTTTGCACCACCAGGGTCCCTTATATTTCAGTTTAGTCTATTTTTAAAAAAGATTTAAACACAAATGCACGTTAACATAAAGTTACACATCTAAAAGGAACAAAATGTATGAAATATACAAAATCACGCAGTTGCAGTTTAATGCCTTCTAAATTTTAAATTAAGAAGACTGAGCTGAAAATACCAGCTTAGGATGAGAAAAGTTAATGAGATCTAATAGGAAAAAAATCATATCAAGTTATTAGAGAAAAGGTAAAGTTGCATATTCAGAAGAACTGAGATGAGCTATATTGGTTACCCAAGTTCAGGAACTAAGATCTGTAGTGATACATTTCAGCCCTTCTTTAAGCTTACATCCTTTTACCACAGGGTTCTCTAGACGGTGCTTTCATGGCTAACAATCTACATTCCACGTCACATCTTCTACTCTCTTGTATCATAAGAGAACTGTAAACTTTCCTAAGCTTTGTACAATCAGCCAGAATTGTAATTCACTCATTCAGGAAATATTTACTGAGTTACTGCTGTGTGCCAGGCACTGTTCTAAATGCTCATATATATCATAACTGAAAATAAAAAAATCTTTGCCCTTGTGACACTTACATTCTAACAGGAAAAGACAGACAATAAACAACTAGCAATACATAAGCTAATTATATCATTTCTTAAGAAAGGGATAAAAGTGCTAATGAAAAACAGATCAGGTCGAGAGTAGGACTGTCAAGTTGCAATTATAAATAGGGTGGCTCAGCATAGGACTCACTGAGAAAGTAAATCTAAGCAGACTTGAAGGAGGGAAAAGATTAGCCATTAGGATATATCTGGGCATAAAGCATTTCAGGAGGGAGAATTTTTGTAATCTTAGTGCTTGTGGGCATCAGAAAGGGTACCATATAAATTACAGCTGTGGCAATATGATACCAGGGATTTTCAATACCCTTCCAGAACTTTCTCCACTGCAATACCTGGGTACCAGATAACAATGGGTCAGGAACCAACAAGAAGATTAAATTAAGTGATCTTAAAGACCTCTAAATTATAGGTAAAGAGATCCATTTACCAGGATCCTCCAATTTCTCCTAAAAACACCCTAGTATGAATTACAGCAAATAGGAGCAATGTGTTGAACTGAGAGAATAATGATGTGAAGGTCACTCAACCAGTGTCAACGATGCTCACACTTTGTCCAAATAAAACCTTTCAAAGAAGCTAACTAAGTAAAACAGAGAAGCAAAGTGGGGGACACAAAAGCCATGCTAGAAACTGTGGCCATGCTAGAAACATCAGGGTCATGGAAAGCACAATTTTAAATGCACAGTCAGTCTTCTTTACATGACCTCCACTAACGTAGCAGAAAATCTGTGTATAGGTAATAAAACCTGGTTTATGGAAAACAGTCTAACAACATTTTAATTCCAAAGTTTAAACCTAGTTACTTAACCCATTAGTTTTCTAAAAGTCTTACCTTCAGATCCCGGTGAATTATTGGAGTCTTACACTGATGTAACCTTGCAACAGCTTCACAGGCATCACAGAATATCCGCAACACTTCTGGTTCTGTAAAACCTGTCTGCAGCTTCTTGTTCATCTGATTCACCACTTGACCAGCTAACCAAAAAGGTAATTTTGAGAAAACATACTATTTAAAAATGAAGTCTATCGCAAAGAAAATAAGAAATGCCTTTATAGTCTCAGATAATGGGAAACTGGGTTTTTCATAATTCTTATATAAAGATGTCTATTATATCACAAGGAACTCTGGTAGCACAATGCCTAAGGCACTTGACTGCTAACCAGAAGGCTGGCAGTTCAAACCCACCAGCCACTTCTCGGAAGGAAGGTTGGGCAATCTACTTCTGTAGTGATATTGCCTCAGAAACCCAAGGAGGGGTCACTATGAGTCAAGTCTGACTGGACAGCAGATAACAACAGCATTATATCATATGTTACTGATTCAAAAGCACATTTTTCTCCCCCACATTTTTACATCTCTGAAATCAGAACATCTTAAGATAATGTTGTGCTAATGCTATTGGGTATTTTTTTTTAACATCTTAACATCTCTGAAATCAGGGTATACCTTATAACCAATGGTATCTTAGATTTGTTATAGCAGTTTCAGTACTGTGTTAGTTATTGTGTAAAGAGTAGTGAACAAAAATAAGTTTTCTATTACCACGGAATTTACATTTTAAAGGTAAAGACAAACATTAATCACATAAATAAATACTTAATCATAATTACATACAATACGAATAATATTGAGAAACTTTAACAAGAGAGCCCTAAATTTATAATGGAGCAGAAAAAGGGGAGGAAGAGGGGGTCTGATAAGGTATATCTAAGGAAGTGATATTTATGTTGCGACTAAAGGATCAAGGCACTTGACTGCTAACCAGAAGGCTGGTGGTTCAAACCCACCAGCTGCTCCTCAGAAGGAAGATGGGGCAATCTACTTCCGTAGTGATACTGCCTCGGAAATCCAAGGAGGCGTCGCTATGAGTCAGGTCCGACTCAACAGCACATAACAACAACAACGACGACTAAAGGATCATTAGCAATTAATAAGGCAGAGATGTGGTAGGAGCCCATTACTGCAGAGTCAATTCCAATGCATGGAGATCCCATGTGTTAGAGTAGAACTGATACATAGGTTTAGGGGTTTCCTGGCAGATTAAAGGACGCAGATTGCCAGGTCTCTCTTCCAGCCCACCACAGAACGGGTCCGAACCACCAACCTTTAGGCTAGTAGTCAAATACAAACTGTTTGCATAACCTAAGGTCCTAAGTAAGAATGAAGTAAAGATTTGAGAGAAGAGTAATAACAAATAACATGCCCGAAAGCTTCCAGTTTGGGAGAGTTTGATGATTTGGAATATTTTAAAGAAAGTCAATGTGTGTATGGTTTAGGAAAAAGAGAACAGAGTTTATTTTTTTTTTGTTGTTAAAAAAAAAAATAAAAAAAGCTTACAGATACAAGTGCCTGGGTGCTGCAAGAAGCAGATAAAGATCAGCCGTATTTTGGATTTTGTCATAACAGACAAGGAAACTGCTTGACTTGACTTTTTTTTAAAAGATCTTCCTGATTAGAAGAAAGGGGTAACCAGAAGGGACATGCAGAGATCAATTAAAAGGCTAATGTTCTAGGCAAAAAGTAAAAGATAATGGAACAGAGGAATTTACTAAATCCAAATAGCCACACATGTATCATTGAGCACTAACAGGATTATTATACATTACAATGATTAAAAGTCAAATAATGGTAATTCTTAATTATCAAAAGAAAAAATTAAACACTCTAATAAAAATGAAGTTTGGCAATGCAAAAAGGCAAGCTTGTATTAACCTGAAACTTTCCTTTAACAAGGTTAGATGAATGAATGAATAGTTGCTACTACGTCATCTGTAAGAAGGTGCCTGCAAGCCTATTTGTTTCACTGTTAATAACTAAACATCTAACTCTTATCTTTTCTGAAATATTTTTCATTTAGAATTTTAAAGCAAAAAGGACATTAAAATTTGCCAAATATATTCCTACCTGTCAGAAACCTTGGGTCCAGTCCTTTGTAATGTGCTCAGGATCCTAACAACTCCTTCCTCCATTCCCTTGTTTGTCAGATTGTGAGTCTGTCTATTCTTAAAAACTGGTTTTAACTAAAAGTTAAGCCAAAAACCAACCAAACTCACTGCTGTCAAGTCAGATCCAACTCAGAGCGACCCCTCCTTGGGTTTCCAAGGGGTATCCCTACGGAAGGAGATTGCCCAAACTTCCTTCCAAGGAGTGGCTGGTGGATTTGAACCGCCAGCCTTCTGGTTAGCAGTCAAATGCCTTAGGCACCATGAAACAGGATGAAAATCTTCCTTGGTGTTCATTCATATACTTGAAATATCATTTCACAGCTAAGAAAGCATAATCTTGAGCCCATTCCAATTCTTCCAAACTATCAAGGTTGTAACCAGCAGAATAAATTTTAAACAAGTGTTACTTGCCCTTCTTCCATCCAGAGATCTTTGGGCCAGAAAACCTAAATCACAAAAACTAAGTCTCCAGAGAAAGCTGAAAACTATATTTATTTGAATTAAACTTCAAATGTGGAAACTGAAAAATTTCATTATTTAAAATCAGAGTTTTCTGGATTAGACAAAATCAGCACCCACCAACTGCAGGCCACAGCAGCCCATCCACAGATATTACAAGCAATAAAAATGACTGTAGTTTTTAAGCTATTAAATGTTAGGATTTTTTCTTCTTTTAAATTTAAAAATCTAACAGATTATCAGTCCCCAGGTGGTGCAAACAGTTAAGCGTTTGGCTACTAACCAAAAGGTTAGCAGTTCAAATCCACACAGTAGCACCTTCAAAGAAAAAGCTAATAAATATATACATGAGAACTTATGTAGAATACGTTCTAAAAACAGAAAGTGCTTCCTTTCATAAAGCAAGAGAAATATACTCAAAACATCAATCCCATTTTCTGGAAGTCTAGTACCAAAAACACGTAATCTCTCTTTAATCTATATAGCAGAAAATTAGCACATTAAGCAGTGCCAAACCACGAATTTTAAAAAACCTCTCATTTGACAAAAATGATCTTAATCTTCTGATATTTGAAACCATGAATGTAGCACATCAGCTATATAACACCACGTGTCTGAACTATATACATCAGTTCCCCTACCAAAGTGCCTTCATTCTTAAATAATTTTATATAATACAAAGATCTTTCATAGAGAAAGTAAGGGGGAAGTATTTGTTCTTCAATTCTCCCTGGCCCCACCCCAAATCATTCCTTCATGGGAGATTAAGGAATTTATCTCATTTATTAGTCCGAGAACAGGAATTAGCATGTTCCATTTTCTGGATTACTACCCTTAAGACAATTGTTCACTCAGAAAGTACATTCTGATCTGTTAACATATGTAATAACCTTAGCTGACAAGACAGAAAACTTTTGATATGAAAAAGTGTATAACCACAAAAAGGAAAGAATTCAGAAAATAAACAGAAGAAAAATCCTTTTAAAAATCATACTATCCTCAAACAATAAAAGATTTACAACTAAAACAAATCAAGGTATATTTTAAAAAAGAAGATGAACACTGAATGAACAAAAAAGGATTTTTGGAAATGAAAAACAAGATAGCAGAAATATAAAATTCTATAGAAGGACTAAAAGGTACAGTTAAGCAAAAAATGTAGAGTAAAAAAGATGAAAATAAGAAAAGATAATTAATCTAGGAAGATTAACATACTAAAAAAGCCTATGAAGAGAGAACAGAGAAAATGGAAGAGAAAAAACTTAGTATCTGGCACAAAAGATTAAAAAAAAAAAAAAAAAAACTTACACCAAAGTACATTTATCTTGAAATTTCAGGATCTTAGGGATAAAAGAAAGATTCTCAAAGTATCCATGGAGGAAAGAGGTCACACACAAAGATTGAGGAATCATTCATAATGGCACTAGATTTCTCAACAGAAACTCTAGGAAAAAATGAATAATGTTTCAAATTTCAGGCTTAAAATTATTCTAAGCCTAGAATGCTTTATCCAGCCAAAATAAAAATTAAATGTGAGCATAGAATAAAAATATTTTTATATATCCAAGGTTTCAAAACTGCCTTCTCCCATAAACCCATTATCAGAAAGCTCCTGAAAAAATGTACCAAAGGAGTAAAACCAAGGGGCAGGAGAACGTTAAGCACCAGGGAATCTAAGACAGAAAGAAGGCAAAGAAAATTCCCAGGATAACAGCTGTGCTATTCAAACTGAAGCAGGAGAACTGAAGTCTCTCCAGGAAACATTTCTAGGGGGAAAAAAACAAAATTAATCAAATATTAAAATATTTCAACACATTACATAAAGATATGTACTTTTGGATGCAAAATGCACTCTTGTCAGTAAGCACCATGCTATTTCCCTCTAGCATCTATGTGCTTGAACAACTAGGTACAGCAGCTGGAATTAAGGATTTCAGTGCTCTGAACAACTCACTGAATCAGAGTGTACCAAACACAGAAGAATAGAATTAGAGGAAAGACACAGGGAGATTGCTTAAGAAAGAGCTACCTGGCAGAGGACAGATGGGTAGCCAAGAAAGGCCACTGGAAACTTCCCTGGGGCAGTCACTGACTGGTGGGTGAGGGTGGTCACCTGACATCCCCGTGAGCCAAGAAGACACCCTATATCAGCATACCAGCGACCACTCCAATATCCCAGCAAATGGCCCACAGGATCTGCTGCCAACACCTGATTTCAGTGCTAATTTGGGTAGCACAGTGGCTAAGACACTTGCCTGCTAACCAGACGGCTGGCGGTTCAAATCCATCAGCCACTCCTCGGAAGGAAGGTTGGGCAATCCTACTTCCGTAGTGATACTGCCTCGGAAACCCAAGGAGGGGTCGCTATGAGTCGGGGCCGACTCAACGGCACATAACAACAACAACAACAAAGTCCAAAAGGGCATGTGCAGCACCGCTGAGACTCAGGCGGAGAGCTCACTGCTGTGCCAGAAGGCCGAGCTTGCTCCCCTCTCAGCGGGTCCCTGGGTGGGCTTGGGTCAGCCTGGGAGACATTGTGCTTATCTTTGTCATTGGTATCAGGTCCGCAG